AAAGAAACTACCTAGACCTAATATCTTTAAGAACTTTGTAAAAAATAAGGGGAAGCCAGATTTTCTTAGTTTTGGGTTTGAGGGTTCTTCAAAGGAGTTTTTGTTTTTCTTTGTACGTCCTCATGTATTATTGATGTATTTTGAGTTGACTTGTTGTTACTTGTTTATCAAGTTATTGTTCTCCTCGAAGCTTGTAAGCAAGAGTTGAGTATTGTTCTTAGTGAAGCTTTTAAGCAAACCAAGTATTTATAATTTGGAAGTGTGTTCTTCCTTTTTGGTTTCTTGAGACATTCCCTGGGACTGGGAGTTGTTTTTTATCACTGCCGTGATTGGAGGTGAAATGGAGATTTCCCATATCTAGGAGGTGCCTAGGTAGAAGTTGCACTGGATAGGTATTAGTCGAGAAGTTGTAAACAGGGGAGTTTAGCTTTGAACTAGTTCTTCTGATATTGGATTTCCTTCCTGGCTTGGTATCTCCTACAGTAGGTGAGTTGCACCGAACTGGATTAACAATTCTTTGTATTCTTTTACCTTCTGAACTTTATAATTATGCATAGTTTTAATATTAGTAAAAGTTTTTGTTCTCCCAGCAGATGTCGTAACATTTATCATGATATTGTGCTTGTGTGTTGACATCAGTCTTGATATTTATATTGTGTGTGCCATAATTTTAAGGTGGATATTTGTTCAGTTTGCGAATGATACTTTATTAGTCGAGGAAGGTAATTGGAAACATTTTTGGACCCTTAAAGCGGTTTTAAGAGGGTTCGAAGTTGTATTAGGACTTGGTGTTAATTTCCTAAAGATCATATTAGTTGGTATTAATATTGATGTTCACTTTCTTTCAGCTACCTCAAATTTTATATCATGCATGATTGAAGATAAACCTTTTATCTTTCTCGGGAGTCCTATTAGATCCAATCCAAGGAGAATCTCTTTGTGTAAATGGCTTTTATCCAAGTTGAAGACCCGTCTTGATAGTTGGAAAGAGAGATTGCTTAGTTTTGGAGGAAGAATTACTTTGTTAAAATTAGTGTTATCTAGCATCATTATTTTTCATCTTTATTTTTTCAGAGCCCCGGTGAAGATTTGTAAAGAATTCACGAAGATCCATAATAATTTTCTTTGGGGCAATATAGTCGACAAGAGGAGGATTCAATGGGTATGTTGAGAATGGGTGTGTTTACCTTTGAAGAAAGACGGTTTAGGATTGAAGAGAATCATAGATTTCAATGTTGCCTTGCTTTATAAATGGAGATGAAGGATCCGAAACGGGGAAGTTTCGTTATGGAAAAAAATATTGATGGTAAGATATGGTAATCTGAATATCCAAATACTTTATGGTTCTACTTATAGTTCCACCATTTCCAATTATGCTTGGTGGAATGATTTGGTCAATTTGGAGCAGAGACTGCCCGAGTCAGTGTTCTCTAAAAATTGCAGGTTTTCTTTAGGTAATTGTGTCTCAACTATGTACTGGGAGGTTAATTGGTTAAATGATGTTAGTTTAAAGATTTTGTTCCCATAGTTGTTTTTGTTAAGCAACTATAAGGAAGTAGCACTAGCGGGGATGGGGAGTTGGGTAGGCAATGCTTGATAGTGGGGTGGTCTGGGAATCATTTCAGTGCTTAGTTAGGCTGAGTTATTCAGTCTGCAAGTTCTTCGTACCTTGGTTTCTTCGAGTGCACTGATTTTGGATTCTACTTATAAGGTGAGTTGGAAGCCCGATACACTAGTGCAAGAAAGACTTTTTACATCGGATGAAAAACACATTATACATCGTGTCTGGGTCTGATATAAAGTCAAGCGATGTAGTAAATCAAAGATATTTTACATCGAGAAACTGCCCGATGTGAAAAACACACCTACCACATCGGTTGACTATTATGTCTGATGTAAAATAAGGGGTTAATTCTTTTTTTTATAAATAAATGCAATATTTAACATCGGTTGCCTTAATGGCCCGATGTAAAATATAGGTTTTAACATCGGTTGTCTTACTTGCCCGATGTAAAACATAGATTTCTACATCGGTTGCAAGGCGCATTCGATGTAATATGTTTTCTATCTTTCTTTAAAAATTAGGCTATTTTTTAGCGGAATCGAGGTGGATTCCCTGTAATGTTTTTGGTACCCAATTTTTCATATTTTCCAACATCACACAGACGACAGTTAGGTCTATTTTTCATATTTTTTCAATATCACACAGACCACATTTAGGTCGCTATTTTCATATTTTTCTAACAAGTGAAAGGTAATTTCATTGCACTAAATAACTAGGATGCACATATATATTCTTCAAAATGGACAATTGATTTACAAAAGTACTAATTTAGGATACACACAAGTGTACAAAATTATAAGAAACTTTACACACGATGGACTACTACAACAACAAAACGAGTGAAAACATACAAAAATGTCCAATCATTTATAAGTAAGTGACACACTCTGTTTTTATCACGTAACTTATCATGTATGTATTTTTTAACATATGCTTGAGATTTCGACACATTATCAACACACATACACCTAGCAGGATCCATAAACCCATATACATCTGATGTGAATTATCAACACATACACAATAAATATACCTGAATAATTTTAAAATAAACATTAGAATCAAAGTGATGAGAGATATAACATATTAATAGATATTGACATTAATAAAAAAAGAAAATGTACTTACGTATACCAAACTTGCAGAATAGACACGTCAAGTCAATGAACTATGAAAACAATGTACCGTCACTACTGTCCAGTGATAAATCCCAGGGAAGTGGACAAAACAGCCTTCTAGGAACTTCATGTGGAACGGTGCTTGACTTTATATAAAATACTGCAGTCCACAACACAACCATCACTAGAACCCCATAATATGCAATAAAACCTCGTAGCCTCCATAAATTAAAATACAAGAATAAAGAGCAATGGAGTCATAAGGCAAATCAAGTCTAAACGACACAAAAAATCATTTTTCTTAAGGTCTGGTGTGGTGTAATGGTATTAGATTTTTGGAATCATTTACTAGTTCCATATCGTCGTGTTCTTGCTCTTCGGCTTTTAAGTGCAGAGACGATTAGTCCTAGAGAGAAAACGAGAGCAAGTAATCCATTTGTATACTGCCATTGAATTTGCTCCGAGGAAGGTTCTTCAACTTTGGGATTGCTGAACTCGCCTATCAGTCCCTGTGGTTCAAACAATTACCATCAAGTTGATTGCAAAATTCACAATCTATACAATATTTTTGCTTGGAAGAGGAAACAAAACAATCAACAACACATTTATAGCCTCTTGAAAGAAAAGATTAGTGATAATCATGCCAAATAACTCCCCTGCAATTCTTGTAAATATAGTGATAATATTGCAAGCATTAAATATAACTCGGAAGCGTTGTATTTGTTGGAAAGATGTTACAAATGGAAAGAGATGAGAGATGAGTTAACGAATTACCTCGAAAAGAGTTAATGCCAGAGTACGAAGATGCGCCGCCGAGGGAAGGAGTGGGACGGTGGCGAGCTAGGTGGTTCAGTCGGAGGGAGACGCACCGCCGAAAAGGAGTGGGACGGAGGCGATATGTTTGTGAGAGAGATGAAGAAAGGAAATGGATTTCTGTCTTGGAGGCGAAAACAAAAAGAAATTATATGAGTTTGTAAGACAAATTAGGTTTTTTTTTTTAATTGGCATCTCACATCGGTGCAAGTCTTGACCCGATTTAAAATCTTTTATAATAAAATTTCATTTTATTTTCTAAACCGCCGCCGCATTTTGTTCACATCGGTCAAAATCCAGATCCGATGTAAAATCTTTTATAACAACTTTATTTTATTTACTAAACTACCACTGTATTTTTTTACATTGGTGCAAATCCAGACCCGATGTAAAATTATTTAACCAAATATTTATTTTTAGTAGTGATATTTTGTCGGGATACACAACCAAATCGGGATATTGTCTCATTTTGATGAGGGGAGTAACATCGAAGGCGAATTCGTTGCAACTCTTAGCTTTCTTTGGAAATTATTTGTTTCTTATAGAATTAAATCATTTGTGTGGAGATGTTTTTTTGAAATATCTTCTCTTCCAAAGAGGTATTGTTTTATCTCCTAGTGATCTTCTTTGTGGGTTTTGTTCAGGTGAGGAGGAATCATTGGAATATCTCTTTATTAATTGTTCTACTTCAAAGTTTGTCTGAAAATAGATGGAGATTTGGTTTGGTTTGCGTTTGAATTCTAAAGAAATAGTGTGGAAATTTTTCTCAATTGACACATAGGATGTGGGAAGAAGAGAGTGAAGGCTTATCAGGGGTGTTTAATTTAGTTAGCGGCGGTGTAGGGCATTTGAAATTTGAGGAATGAAAGTATCTTCAACAGTGGTTCGGATAATGTTTTTGATCTCATTTAGAATATCAAAATGAAAGCAAGTATAACTTTTATAAATTTTATAAAAATCCGTTGTTCTATTTATCTTAAGTTTTAATTGGTGGATAATTTCTCTTGTTCTAAACTCTTCTCGACTTTTTGTAAACCGGTTAAAATATCCTTAATATTCTCTATTAATGATAATTTTTTTATAAAAATAAATAAATATTTCTAGAAGCATTCACTAAATTCTAAAAAAAACAAACACATTTAATGACACTTTCAAACACGGAAACGTGAACCAAATGGATTTTCCCAAAAACCATAATTTCTTGGAAGCAACGGAAGAAGAAATATACGAATGAATTACACCAAGGACACAAAACAGGATCACATAAAAATGACAAATTCTTATGACTATTGGTTTCTTTAACTTCATAATTGTCAAAGTAAAAGTCTAAAATTGAGAATCTTATAATAGAAGTTTCTTCATTAACGTCAAAATAGTTTTTTCTCTCTTTTCATATTACAAGTCTTAAGACTTGTAGTTAAGCTGTCTATAAATAGAGTTAGTATCTTTGTCTTTGTTGAAACAACTCCAAACACAACTTTGATAAAAAATTCTTGCAAATTAAAATGGCAAAGCTAGCTTCAACTGTTTTGATTTTCAGTTCAATAATGGCACTTGTTTTGCTATCTTCATGCCCAGCAATGTCTCAAGAAGTTGGTAATCATCTTCTTTTTTTTGTTTAGTTTCTTTATTTGTTATTAATTTCCATAAATTTTAAATTCCATTAAAAAATGTTTAACATCTTTATCAAATAATAATAATAATAATAATAATAATAATAATAATAATAATAATAATAATAGTTCGTGCATGTATAAGTGTGCCACATAATTAAACTGAAATATTTATTTTTAAGATATTTTATATTTAATTAATTTTGAACTTATGGTATTTGCAGAAGATGAGAGTGAGTTTAATTATGATGAAGGGAGTGATAAAGGACCACAAAATTGGGGGAACATTAAACCAGAATGGTTCATGTGCAAAAATGGAACAAAGCAATCACCAATTGATTTATTGAATCAAAGGGTTCAAATTGTATCAAATTTAGGAGCACTCCAAATTAACTACAAGCCCTCTAATGCAACTCTTAAAAATAGAGGTCATGATATCATGGTCAGTTAATCAAAAATAATCTTATTATAAATAAATTATTTACAATATATATTTCTATTTTCTTTGTGTTCATCTAATAATTTTGTGATGAATAGTTGGAATTATTTTCCAACTCAAGCTATCTACAAATTAATGGAACTCAATATGTGCTTAAACAACTCCATTGGCATTCTCCTTCTGAACACACCATAGATGGCAAAAGGTACCTATTCTCTTATTCTTTACACTTAATTCATGATAATTAGCATTATTGCATAGTTAATTAAACTAAATATCTAATTATTAATTGTGTTGTAGATTTGATCTAGAGTTACATTTGGTACACCAAACTCCATCAGGAAAAATAGCAGTGATTGGAATATTGTACAAGATTGGAATACCAGATATTTTCTTATCATTGGTAAATTAATTAAGTATTAGAGCCTATATAATTGACTTAATTAGTTAAATTAATATTATGATTTGACTTATACAATTTTTATAAATAATGTAGTTGAAGAAGGACTTGGAGGCAATTTCTGAAAGTACCGGGGCAGAAAGGGAAATAGGTATAGTTGTTCCTAATCTGATTACATTTGGCAGAAGACAGTATTATAGATACATTGGTTCGTTGACTACTCCACCATGCTCTCAAAATATTACTTGGACAATTGTTACAGAGGTTATTAACTATTTTAATTTGTTAAATAAATACTTTAATTATTTTAGTATATTTATTAGCTTTCAAATTAATTTTATATACTTTTATTTCGAATGATTAGGTGAAATCTGTTTCAAAGGAGCAAATCGAATTGCTTCGAGTTGCGGTTCATGATGTAAGTTTATTTTAATGTTAACCTTTGATTATTCATGGTTATTTATTATTTATATATTTAGTGAATTAGAATATACGTTTGCTTGGCAGGAATCAAACTCTAATGCAAGACCATTGCAACCTCTAAATGACCGTTTAGTGCAGCTCAATAAATTTGGACCAAGAGTATGAAGAGGAAGAAATTGTAAAAGACTATTTTGCCACTTGAGCCAATAGTTTCAACCTTGCGAATATGTTTTTGGAATAATCATGTTCATTGTTATTTTAGCAATAATTTTTTTCTCTTAGAATCTAAATGGTTGAAAATTAGATGGAAGACTACCTTACTATTAAATTATTTTACTAAATGTAATAAATGGATAAGGGAATAATTTTTAGAGTGTTTAAGAAAATATGTTAAAGTGTCTTGAGTCGGAGGGTTTATGGAAGTGATTTTGCAATAAATGTTTTGCTCCGAATAATAACATATGGACTATGCAGTTATGTTGTTCAAATGTTATCATCCAAACATATAAATTTCTTTCTCAAAATTTTTAATTCAAATAAACAACACAATGGTTATTGATTGCGGTGCTTCTAGATTGTACTATCAAGACGACAGGGAGAAAATAATTTAAAATTTTCATAGGGTTTAAGAGAAACATATAGGATGTATTAGGCAATCATGACATATAAATGGACAATAGTGACTCAACCTAATTGTTTAATAGGATTATAAAAAATAAAGCTCAACCCAATTACCAAGGGTGAAACTTCATTGTGATAGGGAGGCCACGACTACCCCCCAAACATTATTTTTTTATAAATTTTTTATTAAAGTGTATTGTAACCAAGGTTTGGTTTGTTAAAGTGTATCTCTAAGCAATGCTAAGGATGTTAAAGCAATGTTGAACAATGTTTGACAATGTTAAAATGTATTTTTTTAATGTTTTGTCAAAGTTGAACAATGTTATTAAATTGTTTTTTTTTTTTTCCAATGTTAGGACAATGTTGTTTAAGTTTGTTTTGTTCTGTTTTTGCAGCACCAAATTGATGATGAAGAGTAGAAAAATTTATTTATTTTTTAATAGGAAAAAAAGATATGTTAGAATATCAAGGAGTTCTTAATAACTCAAGAATTAAATAAAATGTTAATAGAGTTTATTTATATGATATTAAGAATTTTGTAGAACGTGATTGAAATAATCGGCTGAACAATCAATTGATAATGAAATTAATGAAGTCGCCATTAAACGTCTTTTATTTCACAAGAAGGGAAAGGTAAATATCGAGTAAACCTGAGAAGGGTGAAATCAAGGTCGAACGACCAAGAGATACGGGCAAAGGAGTCTGTTACGCGAGGGGAAGGTATTAGCACCACACACATTCGTAGTACTCTACGGTATCCACTCTTGTTGTCTATCTGTTTCCAGTGATTTCTGGTAAACAACCGCTAGTCTTCCAAACTATCGAATAATCTTTCTTACTGTTATTCAATCTCTCTGGTAACTCACAGGATCGACTAGATTGATCCTAGGATTCCTTGGATATTAAGGTTACTCTCACAATCGAACAGATACTCATGGTTGATATTGTATAAGTGTTTGGCTTGTTTCGATCTCTCTCTCTAAGAGTCTAAAGATGTAATCAAAACGTGTATGAGAACTAAGTTGTACGAATAGATGCTAATTGTAATGCTGAATTGTAAAGACATATAAAACTGCATGAAAATGAAGTAAATGGTTTCGACTTACAAAACGTTTAACATAAAAGGTTTCTGGAATGTAGAAGTTTAAAGATGTGAAGAAAGCGTTTAATGCAAGAAATCTGTAAATGATTTTAAGTAAAAGTATGCATTCGAAAGACAAAACTTGAAGGTAAAGGTATGGAAAATGTGATAGTCTTCTGAAAGATAAAGTGCTCAAAACATAAAGAAAATAATAAAATGTAAAACTTTGAGGAAGAGACTTCGAAGTGAAAAGACTGTAAATAAGAAGACTGGTAAATGTTGTTTGACAAAGAGAATAAAGGAAAGTACTGGAAATGGTAAAAGGTTTTCATTAAATCAAAAATACATGGTGCTATCATACATACATTTCTCTTGCATTCGTTTCCCTTGCCATGTGGTAGTTTGAATGTTATTGAGTATTTTGTATAATAGATATGACACACTGAAATCCTAATACTAAGACTTCTATTTATACTAATTCGACCCTAACGGTCTCGCTATAGGATTATGCCACGTTTCGAACATGCAGGACAATGCTTCTTTCATCTTTCCACGTGTCCCCAAATGCTCCAACACATAACTTTCAAACTTTGAAAGTCCCGCTTCCATTTGAATTTAAAATACTTTGGTGTTTCTCCGTTTCGAACGCTTTTCCCAAACATAGCCTCGCTGTTGTTTCGAGACTCCTTTAGATAAGTTCCCATAATTGTCGCTCGAAGCTTCAAGCTTTGACACACTTATTCGAAACACTGCTTCCGCAACTTCGAAATATGGCGTTTAATTCCATTTCGATCAGAACGTTCAACTCTTTTGGCTTCTAAATAACATTATCAAAATCTTCAGCCAACAAATTGCCCCTTTAAAATATGTATTTCGATTCCTCTGAGAAATACTTATTTTAAACATCTACACAAGATTTTGATAAAACTTTCGAACCATCGTGACATTTAATGCATTTGACTCCAGTCACATCAATCATAACACCTTTTGGATTCCTTAACCGCCCGGAGTCACTTCACAGCGTGGTGCAGTTATAAGTAATGATTATCTTTTTAATCACGCCTATTACCTATGTAAATCTTCACGCCACCTCTTCATCACACCAACCCACGATCTCCACGTATCACACTTCTATTCGGTGGATGCTTAAACTTCCCATTATAAAACATCAACTTAATCTTCTTCTTTCCTTTTCACACTCTTAAATCTTTCATACTCTGAATTTTTTACCCTCCTTCTCTCACAAAACAATCTAAGCTTTCAACATCCCTCAAAATGTCTTCTTCTACTTCATTCCAACTCAAGAAAGTCTCCAAGAAGAAAGGAAAAACTACAGGAGCTACCATGGAGAGTAAAATCATCACCATTCAAGGCCAATCTGCTCTTGCTCCTCAAATGATTTCCAAAGAAAAAGAAATGTTGTACGCATCACAGGTACTCATTCCTACCCATGTTGCTGGTAAGAGATTAGCCTTAAATGGCCCTCTTACGGTTTTTGAAATATTAAAGGACACCAGGACAATTTTTCCCGTCTGTTATAGCTTCAAACCTTTATTCAACAAAATGGATGCCCCTAGGGCAGTAGAATCCCCTAGTTCAAATACCGTAGAAACCCCAACTGTTCCTCCCAAGGACCCCTTTGTTTTGGATTATGTAAAAAGCAATTTTAAACCATTTCGATCCTGCCCTACTTCTGATATTGCTTATCAAAATTGGTTCACAAAAGTAGAAGCCAAGAAATCCCAGCAATGGGAAGAATTAGGCATTTATAACCTGATTAAGCTATCGAAACCTGGATTCACCTACAGCCATCCTCTGCTATTCGCGTCCCTTTATTTCTGGGACAGTACCTACAACACTTTTCATCTCCCAGGTGGAATGATCACCCCCACCTTCTTCGATATAGCGGCCATTACTGGGCTGTCGCCAGTGGGAGAAACTTATGTTCCTGAAAACGAAGAGCACTCAAGCATAATTGACTTCGAAGTCAAGTTAGCCAGCTTTTCCAAATTTATCAGCCATTATCATGCTGAAGGGGACAATGTGTCTGACGTAGAGCACATTGCTTTCTTAACCCTGTGGCTGTCTAGATACGTTTTCTGCAGTAGATCCCTGCAGGTAGCTAGTAGGTTCATTCCTCTAGCTAGGGATTTACATGAAAATCGAAAAGTGTGCCTAAGTGAATTACTCTTAGTTGACCTCTATGAAAGCCTGAGGTCAGCTGTTTCGAGCCTCAAATCCCACACCTCCAAAAACATTTTATTGGCTGGCCCATTTTGGTTACTCCAACTATGGCTAAATGCCATGTTCGAACCTTCCTTATCAACCGCCAATACCATTGATGAGCAAGATTCTGAAATAAGTGATAGGATAGTCGAAGGCACTAGGCTTCGAAGACTAACTCCCAATGATGAAAAAGATGACTTCAAGGTTCAATTCTCGAAGTACATCATGATATTCTCCAAAAGGCACAAGTTCGAAGAGAGCATGGCGCCTTTTGCTTCGAGGGCTCATGGACCTTCTTGGTTTAACATGGCTCTCTCAGAAGCCATCAAGAGCAAGGAGATTCAGGATGTATGGAGAGCTTTCTTGCTTCCTAGACTCATCTCTTCAAGGATAACCCCAGCTAAGAACCAAATTCTTCTCTTTGCCTACCAACCAAACTTTGTTTCGAGGCAGTTTGGCTTATGCCAACTGATTCCTGAACCTTTGTTCCAAACTGAGAGCGCCATCACTTCTGGACGAACTTTCAAGGCAAGGGAAGCCAAAATCCAGCAAGAACAATATCAAGGCTTTGCCCAATTTGAGCTGATAGCCTTCGAACCTACCCATCTCGCAGCTAAAGGATTTCTGGAGTGGTGGATTAAGTTTTATCAAACTTATATGTTCGATACACTTACAATTCGACAGAAACTAATTGATGCCTTCGATGTGCAGGTACCGGAAAAGAAAGGTATGTTTACTCATGCCAAAGAGATTAAAGCTTTCCAAAATTATTTTGAAACTACTTACGACCCCACGCGCTTGGACTCCACTGTGCATCAAGCAACTGAGACCTTGAAGGAAAAATTTAAACAAAAAGTTTCTAAGCTAAAACTTCCTTCAGGGCTGTCACCTGAGGATAGGTATAGGTTGGCATTCGAAATGCATCCACCTAAATTTCCCAGATTACCTACCTCAGAACTGGCTCTGGCTTGGTTTCCCCCATATCCATGGTGGTTTACTTGCAAAGAGATGTTCAAATATCTTCAAAGGAAACCAAAGCCATCTGAGACTGTGACATGGGCTCGATACTGGCTTCATGATTTCCCAGGACACCTTCGATACGACCTTTCTGCCATGTCAATTAAATCTGATCAGGGCACAGGTGCGAATGCTTGGGAAAAATCCCAAATGTCTTTTATTTTCCATATCTTTAACCTTTGCTTTAATTGTTTCGATTTTCAGCTATCAGGATAAAGAC